AGATTCCAATTGGGCCGTAAGATTTTTCCCTAGCATGGGCAAACTTTAAAATATTTTTGGTTAAACAAAAACTTTTCTTTTTAATGTTGGGGTACAATCTTAATTTCCCAAAAGTTTTTGGGTTTTCCTAAAACTCATAACTTTCTTGTGGGGTTTGGGGAAAAAGGGGCTTGGTTGGTTTCGTTATGAACAACTGAATGATGTTGAACGACATATGGTATGGTGACTGTTGCATTTTTTTTTCCCCGAAAAGTCGAACAATCATATTCTAGAAATTCTGATTCTAGTCGTGAATCCATCTTTTGTTTAGAATCATATTAGGAAGTGTGTGCATTTCTGAAAATCTAAAGTAATTTCTACACCATCCCTCCACCATCCACAACGCCGGACAGCACCTATGATGCCACCTTCGTCTTCGATCGACCATCATCACCACCCTCAAATCTCTCTCCACCAATCTCAGACGTCCATCAATAATTCTTGAAAACTTGAAGAAGCTCAAACCAATAGCCATCACTTACTCTTTATATCACATGTACCTTCCCAAAAACTAGCATTTGAACATTAATTGCATTGTCTGGTAATAAGTTTAAAGCTTGCTAGAGGTATATCCCTAACTATTATATATCTCTTTTAGTTTCTTCAATATTTATACGATCGTAGCTTTACGATCTCTGTTTAGAGCCAGTTGAATTTCATGACTACCACAACATGCATCTGCTTCTGATCCATCTTTTTGTATAGAATCAAGCTCAGCCTGTTGATGGAATTGAGACGCCTTTACTAGCTCTCTTTCCCGTTGGCCACACTTCCGGTGGGTTCCGTCTCTAAATACCATTTGTAACACCCCATATTGTCCGATTTGGGCCTAATCCTCCACAGTTTTGTTCTTGGATTTTACCCCAAATGCGTCGTACCATTTGGAGATAGCACTACCACATAATAATATTAAAGCTTGGAATCTTTCCTTTAGGTTCCCTTTGGTTAGATGAAAAAAGCAAGAAAAGAAAGCAACTGGAACATTTATGAACACTTTATAGTTTGGTTAGCTAGAAAAGAATAATTTTAAGGAAAATTTACTTTCCATAATCACCAATCCTACAAAAAGCACAGAAATTTTTTGATTTCTTGATAAACTTTTAGAAACTTACAACAATGCTCCGTCTTTTATGGTAAGTTTCATGTTATTCAAACTATAAACTCGTAGTTTCTAATTCTTTTTTTTTTTTTTTGAAAACTTTCAAACCAATCATGATTAAAAATTTATTTTTCTTTTATTCACTTCACTTTCTTTTACTTTCACTTTTCATTAATAGTTTTTACCTAAGCAAACGGAGTCTTACTTGATTGGACTTTGATCAACAAAGGTTGAATGTTATTTCTTCAAGAGTACAGCATTCTTATTTTTCCTTGGTCCTCAATGGAGAATTCTTAATAGATTTTGGAAGAGAAGAGAGTTGGTTTTATGTTTTGGATAGCTTAGATTGGAGTTTAGGAGGTTTGGAGGCCATTTGGAGGCTCAGGACCATTGGATAGCTTAGATTGGAGTTTGATAGAGTTTAGTTCTTTTTTTTCCAGATTGCAAAGAGGAGTCACTAGGTTGTCTTGCCTTTTTCGTGATGGAGGAAAGGAGGTATTTATAGATGTCTAGGGCCATTTAGTATTCAAAAAAATCAGCCAACCAGAAAAAATAATAATAATAATAATTGGACCCTTACAGAACCCTTCTAATAGGGGAGGGTTGGTTTTGGTTTTTTGGATGGAGTTTGGGAGGTTTGCAGACCGCTCGGAGGCTCAGGACCTTTTCAGATTACAACAAGGAAGTCACTAGGATGTAGAACGTTTTTCTTTATGGAGGAAGGAGATATTTAGTCTTATAAAGATGTCTAGGGCCAATTAGCATTCAAAAAAATCAGCCAACTAGAAAAAAATAAAATAAAAACAGGACCTGTATAGAAATCTTAATACTTATTGCGATCAGACGATCCCGAAGGTTCCTTTGACGATTCAATGGTTAAATTAACCTAATCGAAGTGGGATTTTGAGTACTTTTATGGATTATGATCCAAATTGATGTTTTTGAACCACTTGATTGGCTTTGATGAGGGATTATAATATGGAATGTTGGCCGGAATCAAAATTCAGGCACCATAATTCATAATGTAGGCCAGATTTGGAATCAATTCTACGATCTGACGATGGGAACGATTTGAAATATTAAGAAATGATGAAAATTCGCATTTGCGGTGGATTTGGAGTCTTTAGATCATCTTAATGTTAACTGGACCGAATTTTTTTTTTTTTTTGATAAGTAAAATGTATTAGAAGGTGTTCAAAAGGGGAACGCGTCCCAAGCTATACAAAAAAACTGAAACTATGATCTCAAGGAGCCCAAAAAGTCCACAATATCCTCAATGGAGGAAAAATCTCTCCCCCAACCCCAACAAAAAAGAGAACAAATAATAGAGAATTTCAACACCCCAATGGATGACTTCTTCCCATCAAAAGATCTTTTATTCCCCTCTTTCCAAATGCTCCACCAAACACAAAAGAGGGTTACCCTCCAGAAGACTCTCGCCTGAGCCCCCACCCATTGGCCCCTCCAAATATCCAGCAATTCCCGAGATGTCCGAGGCATAACCCAATGAATACCAAACAAATCAAAAATGAGACTCCAACAATCATGAGCCACAGGACAATGCAGCAACAGGTGATCCACTGACTCCCCATTCAACTTACAAAGACAACACCGATTAACAATAATATGTCTTCGCTTCCTTAAGTTATCCAAAGTCAAAATCTTGCTCCAAGCTGCAGTCCACACGAAAAAGGCCACCCTAAAAGGCGCCTTAGACAACCACACCTTTTTCCATGGGAAGGAGACACCATGAAAACCAGAAAGGCACACAAAAAAAGACCGGACCTAGAACATCCCCTGAGAAGAGGGCACCCAAAACAGGGAGTCAACACCAGTGCCCTCCATCTCCTGTCTGTACAAGAGAGCCAACAAGCCAGTGACATCATCCAACTCCCAATCCTGAAAAGATCACCGGAATCGCACATCCCAAGATAACCTCCCGCTATCAAGGCGATAGCAGTTAGCAACCATAGCATGTTTGTCAACAGCAATCCTGAACAGCCTCAGAAACAAAAGAGCCAGAGGCCTATCCGCGCACCAGGGATCCTCCTAAAACCGGACAAACCTTCCATCCCGAACTTTGAATCTAACATGTTTGGAAAACTCGTCCCATCCTTTTCCAATGGCCCTCCGCACCCCTACTCCACTAGCAGACCTGACTGGCCTAGCTGACCACCCCCCCTCTCTCCTCCCCAAAGCGACAGGAAATAACCCTTCTCCATAATCTATGCCTTTCACTGCCGAATCTCCAAAGCCACTTACCGAGGAGAGCACTGTTAAAGGGGGCCAATCTCCTAATCCCAAGCCCGCCCAACTGAAAAGGCCTGCAAACCTGCTCCCATCTGACAAGATGATACTTAAACTCCTCTCCACGACCCCTCCAAAGGAAGTTTCGTTGTAACATCTCAAGACGGCCAACAACCGAGGCTGGAACCCGAAAGAGCGAAAGAAAATACGTTGGGAGGCTTGACAAGACGCTTTTCACTAACGTAACTTTACCACCCTTGGAGAGATATTGCTTTTTCCAACAAGCTAATCTTCTTTCGAACCTCTCAATCACCGGGTCCCAACTTCCCACCCTCTTAGCCGAGTCCCCCAGCGGCAAACCCAAATACGAGATAGGGAAACGTTGCGTCCCACACCCTAAGGCAGCAGCAAGAGTGTCCACCTCCTGAACCTCCCCCCACAGGGACAAGCACACTCTTGCCCACGTTGACTTTCAAACCAGAGACAGCCTGAAAGCAAACTAAGACATATCTCAGATACCTCAACTGGGACACCTCTGCCTCACAAAAAACAATAGTGTCATTCGCAAAGAGCAAGTGAGAAATCTCCATTTGCTGAACGGACTCGGGACCAATCTTGAAACCCCTTATAAAACCCAAATCCACCGCCCTTCTCATCAACCTACTAAGAGCCTCCATAACAATAATAAAAAGGAACGGGGAGAGAGGGTCCCCCTGCCTCAGACCATGAGAGCTGCCGAAAAACCCCGCAGGGGACCCATTCACCAACACCGAAAACCTGACAGTGGAAACACATGAAGCAATCCATTTCCTCCATCTCTCACCAAAGCCCATCCTCTCTAATAGGTAGAACAGGAAATTCCAGCAGACATGACCAAAACCCTAATTGAGGCTCTATTTTGGAGTGATTCTACAATGAAATGGTGGAATCACCTTGGAATGACTTGTAATGATAAAATTTCACATTCGGAAAGGATATGGAGTCTTTGGAGCTACTTAATTATATCTATTGATGGAGTTTATGCAGTCTGATTGACGAAAAATAGCTATAATAGGGAGTGAGGCAAAATGTGGTATCTAGAGTCTCAAAACGTAAACCAAACCACTATTTCTAAATAAAGAGTATAATGTATTCAACCTCCTTGGGAATGTTCAAGTTTCAAACTCCAATGCATTTGGAATCACTTGGCATTGTTTTATCTTCAACCCTAAATGCTTTTTAATTCCAATACCTTAGGAATAAACAATCAAAAATAATTCAAGTCAATGATTCACTTTTCTAAGTGGTAGTTCATAAAATACTTGCTATTGAATGATTTTGATGTCCCTAGTACAGCTTGATAAGAGAATCGACTCAAGCTCGGTCATTTTGTCAAGCATATATGTATAGGAGTGCTTGGAAATTAATTCTGATTAAAAAAGCTAAGAAAAATATTAAACCATGTTTCTTCAAATTCCATTAAAATCCAAATTCTATTAAATACGAAAACCAAAGTCGTTTTCCATATCGGATTAAAATGCACCAGTGAATGTAAAATTCGTACAGATAAATTAAGCTTCCTAACATATTATGCAACCCTTTCCTGAAGACAAAAAAAAAAAAAAAAAAAAAAAAAAAAAGAAAACGAAAAAGAAAAAGAAAAAAAAAAGATTTTTTAGAAATTTCTGTACAGAATATCAGACTTGTGGTGGTGGTGGAATAAATATTTCTCTGCATCTGCTGCATTCATTTTTCTACTTCTTTCTAAACCATCTCTTGTTTAAAATCAGACTTGTCGTGGTGGTGGAATTAAACAAGCAATCTGAATCAAACTAGTTCTATCGCATCAAATCCTTAAGCTTGTTAAAGGTACGTACCCAACTATATATATCTCTTTTTAAATTCTTCAATACTAACAGTTGTAGCTCTCTATATTTCATGTGCTGCCATTTGCTTTCTATACAGGAAAAAAGGTAGCTAGTGAGCTGAAAATGGAATGTGTCATTGTTAGTGCTGTGGTGGGCAAGATAGTAGAGTTACTTACTGGGGCTTTCTTGACATCCACCAGGCGTTGAATTGGTCATGTGGTTCATTACAAGAAAAATATGGATGTTCTTGATGCTGAATTTGAGAAACTTAGCTGCATGAAGGATACGATCCAAGCAAAAGTCAATACTGCCCAAGAAAGTGCAGAAGTCATTAAAGAGGATGTTTCGGCTTGGCTAGATAAAGGAAAGGAGGAAGACCGGAAAAGATTATTGGTAGCCAGACAAAACATCACATGTTTTCATGTTTGTTCAAGGCATCATGTTAGCAAGGAAGGTAAAGAGTTGTTGTCTCATCTTTCTGGGCTAATAGATGTTGGCGGCAAGTTTGAAACAGTTGGACACCCTGCTATTTGGTACACAGCTACCACAATATTTGAGCAGTTTGAATCCAGAGTATCAGTTCATAAACAGATCATTGACGTGTTGAAAGATGATAAAATTTATAAAATTGGAATACATGGAATGCCGGGTACCGGAAAGACGAGAATGGTGGAAGAAATAGCCAAACAAGCTAAAAAAGAGAACCTATTTGATGAGGTCGCCAAGGTAGTCTTCTCCCAAAGTCCTGATTTGAAAAAAATTCAAGAAGTGCTTGCAGACTGTTTACATTTTCCATTCGAAACAAAGACCGAAGATGGGAGAAAGGGGGAGCTGTCAAAAAGATTGACAAATGGGAAAAAAATCCTTGTAATAATTGATGATATTTGGAGTGATGAGCTTAAGTTGGAAGAAATAGGAATCCCACCTAGTGATAATGATATCGAGGGCTGCAAAGTTTTGTTGACCTCTCGGAGAGAAGATGTGTTCATTAAGATGGGGGTTCTAACAAAATTTCCAATTGGACTTCTACAGCAACATGAAGCATGGAACCTGTTTAAGAAAACGGTGGGAGATTTTATTGAATCTCCTCATGAAATTCATTCTGTTACAAAACAAGTGTGTGGAGAATGTGATGGTTTACCCTTGGCAATTCTTGTAGTTGGAGCATCTCTAAGGGATCAGAAAGAAAAGCCTGCTTGGGATGATGCACTTTCACAATTGAACAATTGTCAAGGAGATAACATTGAGGGAATAAACGAAAATTTGTATTCACGCATAGAGTGGAGTTATAATTATCTAAAGCAAACAGATGTTAAATCTTGCCTTCTACATTGTTCTTTGTTTCCAGAAGATCAAGAAATTCCGATTGATGTCTTGGTGATGTATGGAGTGGGAACGAGGTTTCTCAAGCATAGCTCGTCTACAATGAAAAGAGCTAGAGATAGAACACATGTATTGGTTGATACCTTGAAGAAATCTCATTTGCTGTTAGAAGGTGAAAGTAAGGACTTTGTCAAAATGCACGACATTGTTCGAGATGTTGCCATCTTAATTGCATCAAAAGTGGGATTTCTAGCAAAAACAGGTGTCCCAAAGTGGCCGGAGAAAGATGAGTATGAATCCCGCCGGGTAATCTCATTGATTTCCCAAAATATTTATGAGCCTCCTAGTGAGTTAGAATGTTCAGAACTATGCACATTGGTATTGGGATGCGATTACTATCGCAAACCACAAGTTCCAGATAATTTTTTTAAAGTGATGAAAAAGCTTGAAGTTTTAGTTTTGCATTCGGTGCGGTTGCCATCATCACCTCTAAATCTGATCAACCTTCGGATGTTGCGTCTCTCTGACTGTGAACAGGTGAGCCTAGCTTTTCTCAAGGAACTAAGAAATCTTGAGATACTAAGCATTGTTTATTCTAATGTCGAAGAGGTGGCTGTGGAAGTAGGACAGTTGACTAACTTGCGGTGGTTGGATTTAAGGGAATGTGAAAACCTCAAGATCATTCCATCAGGTGTCATAAAAAGTCTATCCAAAATTGAGGAACTGTACATTCCACATGATTTTGGGGAATGGGGGGTTGAAGGGAATGCAAGGCTTGATGAACTTAATTCATTGACTGGCTTAACCACTTTACAAATTCACATAAGAGATTGCATGCTACTGCCCAATGTGCTCTGCTTTTAGTGCTTGAACAGATTCAAAATATCAGTTGGGAGGACTAAGGGTTTTGATTATTATGAAGAAGACTTAGGAGCAGGGATGTTGAAACTTGATGATATTAGTTTGAGGAAGGAGTTCAATATTTTGATGGAGAAAGCTGAAGTACTTCTTTTAAAAAGAGTGGAAGGTGTAAAGAATGTGCTTCACTGTGGAGATGGAAAAGGGTTTCTGGACTTGAAATATCTTCAAATTGAGGACTGCAGTGACATGGAATATCTACTTGGTAGAGAAAAATGGAATGTACAAACTCAGGGTTCTTTCTGCAAATTAAGTGTTCTAATAGTTGAAGATTGTACCTTGAAATTTCTGTTTTATCCATCCACAGCAAGAGCTCTTCTACAACTCCAAAAATTAGATATATCAAGATGCGAAATCATGGAAGAAATAATTCTAGATGATGATGGGGAAGTAAAGGATAAAGTTATTTTTCCTCAATTAAAGGAAATGAAGTTGAGGAATTTACCAAACCTCAGAAGCATCTGCTGCGCCAATAGGAAGAAAACGTCAAGCACAGAGTGCAATACTTCCGACCTTACACAAGCTTTATTTAATGAAAAGGTATGCTTTGTCACTCAAAACATATTTTATTTAATGGAAATGTATGCTCTGTCACTCAAAACATATTTTATTTCATTGAAAAATTGTTCGCCATATACCACTTGGAAGTATACTTGTTGTAAAAATAATAATTAGCCTATTTCAAAAACTGGTATATGCCTTTGGAGTACACCATCAAAAGTTTGGGCCTTGGGGGCACCATTGGAATGTTTGGACTCACTATCATTGTTTATATATATCAATATCACGTGCATCCTTTAACATAGAATCACTAACCAATTAGTAGAAAAAGGGCACATGACAAAAGTGGCAATGTGAAATCTCACCCACTTTATTGGTGAGATACTGTGATTTAAAAATTACAGAGCTTAGCATAAATTGATAATGCAACTTTTTTTTGTAAGGATCAATATTATCTTTTTGCCAAAAATACACACACGTGTGAACAACAAAGTGTCATTTTTTTTATAATTTTATTTTTCTATTTATCATAAAATAATAATAATAAATCTGAAGTGGCCATTGACGTTTTTTATTTCACCCTCTTCATACTTAGTTCTTTAGGCAGTAAAATTTTATTTCTTAATAACATAGAATTCATGCTAGTATTTCACTAGCATTTTTTAGTTACTATGAAACCAGAAAGTTTCATTTGGATAAAAACAAGCTTTTTCTTTTTTTCTTTTTTCTGGGGAGATTCAAACAATTTTATATATGGAGTAATATTTGCAGTTGGGCTGTAATGGGTCAAAACCCAGCCTAACAGAGGCACTTGGCCCAGAACATTAAGTAACCTGCCAAATAGACAGTCCCAATATTATGTAACAGAAGCCCAATAACGAAAATCTATGCTTGGATGAAGTTATGTTACTTTTCATCAATTTATAAAAATCCACTTTGTGATTGGGCTTAAAAGCTGATATCTGATCACACAAAGAAAATTCGATTATCAGGTTTATGTCTTTCTTATTTTTGATCTTTCTGTTTCTATGCTTTGATGAAGTTATGTTACTTGAAGTATTCTTTTAACGAAATAAAAGCATCACAACATAATTCTTTTCTTTAGTGCCTTTTTTATATCTAAGCAAAAAGAAATAAAACCAAAAAAAGAAGTATTTATAAAAATCTAAAGCACAATTATGGTAGATATACATCTATTTTCCCACACTCAAGATGTAATATATATATATACACACGTTTGCCATATAACACTTGTAATAGCGAAGGCGAAGGAAGCTTGTTTGTAAAATTTACTAGCAGCACTAGTCAAGTAAAGAGCTGGGGCTCATTGATATGATGTACATCTGTTGATCATAATATGATGATTGATGAATTTTGTAGGTTTCATTCCCTGCATTGGAGGAACTAAAGATAAGAAAATTGGAAAGCATTACATGGATATGGGATAACCAATTATTCCTAGCTTCAGAAGCAAAAGAACTAAGGGAGATAGAGATAGAAAGATGTCAGAAACTGGTAAATGTGATACCCTCAATTTGATTCCAAGGTTACAGAATCTGGAAACGGTCAAAATTGAAAGGTGTGAGTCAGTGGTGTCAGCAGTCGAAGTGCTTACTATTGAAAAAGGGTTTGCAACATCAATGGAACTACCTCGGTTAAAATCAATGATTCTTAAGTCACTACCTAAGCTGATGCTCATGGGTTTGAACAGAAACGAACATTCTGATCACAGACCTAACATTGGTGCCTATTCAAACCTAACATCTCTTAACATTAGAGACTGTCATAGTTTGAGAAATGTATTCTCATCATCTATCGCAAGAAATCTTAAGCAGCTACAAGATTTGACAGTAATAGACTGTGTGCATATAGAAGAGATAATTGCAATTAAAACAAGAGAAGGAAAAGATGAGGTAGTGGATGAGGAGATCATTGTTTTCCCTCGATTAAAGGAAATGAATCTTACAGAGTTACCAAATCTCAAAAGCTTTTGTGGGCCCAAGAAAGAAGCAGTGGAGGATGACAATATTCCCCAACTACAATCCCTCTTCAATTACAAGGTACGTATTTCCTAACTCCAATTTAACATATATGCATCATTCACGTTTTTCATTTTACCTTCTATTTAGCTCAATTAGTTCTTTTGTGCATAAATTTATTTCTTAATACATAGAATTCCTGCTATTGTTTTATTATCATTTTTCAGTTCCCATGAACCATGCAAGTTTATTGGGATAAAAACAAGCATTCTGTTTTTTTTGGGAGATTTCTGTGGAATAATATTTGCAGTTGGGCTGTAATGGGCAAGCCCAATCACGAAACCCGTAAACCAAAACAATTTATCGAAATCCATATCCTTGAATTTATTTTGACTTGAAGTTCATGGGCTTTAAGTATTAGCCCTTTTTGCATGCGGCTCCTCACATGGTAATATTTTCTCAATTGGTGAAGGCCTATACCATCACTATCACATATGTGGCTGTTATGACACATCATGATTAATTAAAAATAAAAGATAATAATATTATCCAAAAATTAAATTGGCCCATATGACTTCCATAGTTTTTGACAAAATAGGAAGAGGGTGTGATTACAACTTACAAGTCACTCATTTGGTGGTTATGAGAGGGACATTGTTGTCCTGTCATCTACTACTTGCTTTGAACTATTATACTTTAAGAAGAATTTTAGTGATCTGCTATCCAATTGTATTAAACTTTTCATCCAAAATTACCTTACCTTGCCATTGTCTCAAATAGCAGCTTCATGTGAAGCGTAACTTGGGGATGCATGTCCAGCAACCCATCCATCACACTTGAAACTCCTTTTAACTGAAAATTTAATAACAAACTGTTTTCTTTAATTGATTTGTCTGTTGCTTTTATTTCATCAAATTTTACATGCTTCAAACAGTACTAAATAATTTGTGTAGGTTGCTTTTCCTGTCTTGGAGGATTTGGAACTCTCGGATGGAAACATCTTTTTTGAAGATATTTGGTATGGGCGTGTCCCAGCAGGCTCATTTAGCAAAGTAAGAGAGCTGAAGCTTAAGTGCTGCATGTTAGTGAACATTCCTACCCTGCTGCTACAGAGGTTTAAAGTTGTTGAAGAACTCAGTGTGGAATATTGTGATTCATTACAAGTTGTCTTCAACCTTGAAGGACTTGAAGACATCAAAAGAGGAGCAGCAGTGTTTTCTCAAATAACAAAGTTGGACCCCTACCACAACCTAACATCTTTAACAGTTTATTATTGCAACAGCCTGAAATATTTATTCTCACTCTCAATCGCAAGAAATCTCACAAATATTGAAGAACTGAGTGTTGGTTGTTGATTGAAGAAATAATTAAAAATGAAGATCAAGGTGAAGAGGATGGTGCCATGGATGAAATTGTGTTTCCCAAGTTACAGTCTATGGAGCTTTGCGATCTACCAAACTTCACAAGTTTTTGTTGGGCACAAAATGCTTTTAAATTGCCATCCCTACGGAATGTTATGCTGAGATATTGTCTCAAAATGCGGACATTCACATTTGGACAGATAAGTACACCGGTGATAAAATTAGATGACAACTATGAAGACGAAGAAGTGAATGACCTCAATAACTATGTGCAACAGCGTGTTCAAGGAAGGAAGGGTAAATATAGAATGACATAAAACTTTGATAAAAGATTATATATATATTCTTTTTCCTACATAGTAGTAATAAACTATTTTTTTATTTTATTTTATAAATATTATGAAGTTTTATCAACTTGTATTTAATTCAGGGATTACGATGTATAAGGATGATGAAGAAACAAGTGTTGGCAAAGAAAAAGAGTCTGGAAACCATGATGAAGAAGATATTTTGCTAAATGAGTAAATTAAGGTAATTCTATCTTTTAATTTTTATCTTTCTGCATCTCACAGGTTTGGGAAGGGGGAATCTCATGTGATGGTATTTTTTAAATTTCAAATTGATTGGTAATTAAACTTTGCATTTCCCAAATTTAGTTGGCCAAACCGTGAAGGATGTGAATTCTTCAATCTAAATTATTTGGATAATGTTTAGAATATATTTTCCATTTGAAGAGATATAGATTTGTGCAATGACATCTCGGCCTGTTATTCATATATGGGACTTATGCAAGCCTTATATTTGTCCTCGAGATTTGTGTAGAAAAGTACTAGTCTCTCAAGGGTTTTCCAATCTTCCTCAAGACTTATTTGGAGAGATGAGTTCCTTGATGGCCCTTAAGCATCCTCTAAACTTCTCTATAGAGAGGGGTTTCTTGAGGGCCCTTCAGTACATTAACATTAGCCATAGAAGCTGAGATTACATTATAGAGGCTTAGAGGAGAGGTCCTAGAGCTGATATTGAGGCTTATCTATATAGAGAAGGTCCTCGTAGTTTATGATTTGCCTTAGATTGGGGTCCTGACCATGGAGTTTCATATCAATTTTACAGCCTCTAAGTTCATTTTGCAACTGATACAAAGCAAAAAGCATTTTTAGAATTTCAAAAATCCAGAAAACAAAAGAAGCCAAACTCAACTGAACCAGTGGGTATGCAAAATTGAATGACATGAATCCGGTGCTGATTTAACTTTTCTAAAATTGCTTCCAAAAAAACTCCGTTCTACCCTGTCATATGCCTTGCTCATGTCCTTTTTCAAAGAGCCATATTTGTTTTTTTCACTTTTTTATTTCTTCCTTTTAAAAATGCAAAAGCTCGTGAGTGATAAGGGTGTTGCCAGTAATTTGTCGACCAGCTATGAATGCACTCTGAGTTTCACTAATGACACACTTGAGGATAGGTTTAAGTCTATTTGTCATAACCTTAGAAATGATTTTGTAAATCATATTGCAAAGTGAAAATAGGTCTATACTGGCTGACTGAGGATAGGGTGTTTTCCTTTGAGGTAGATTATGATTTAGACTATTCAGGATGAAACCTAAACGGAAAAAGCTGTTAACAGCATGTAAGATCTCACTTTTGGGACTTTAACTAATGAATTTTGATGATACACTTGTTGCCTTCATTTTGTTTTTTTTTTTATTTTTTTATTTTTTTATTATTATTATTATTATTATTTTTGGCTTCTCTATTTTGTTGTAATCTGGAAATCATATATTTTTTTCCAGAATGATGTTGTCTGTGGAGGTTTTCCTCCTTAGGGATTTATATTTTCCGAATGAAGTTCAATTAAGGAAAAGAAATAATTGGGGGCCTGACATGGTTACTGATAAGCTAGTTAATTCCACCGGATACAAGATACGTTTCCCAATATCCAATTTTGAAAACTCTTTTCATTAAACTTGAAAGAAATTCAATTTCCCACCTTCACACACCACCATGCACCCACACTATGAAATGGATGGCATCATTTAGCTGGATAATGTCATTTTGTGAATGCTCTAAGAATATGAGTACATTATTGAACACAACTTAACAAGGATAAGCTCACATAGGCATTTCATCAAACATGTAGCATGCTAATTATGATATAACTCAATTTCAAGGAAATATAGCACAAACTAATCACATAAAGCATGAAAAACTTCCAGTAGCATGGAAGGAAGCATGTCTATCACAACTTAACCATAAAGAGAACATAGAATTTCACAACTAACAACAATTCAACAAGAATTGATCAAACAAGAAATCATCTAAATTGAAGTAACAAGATAATATTCTATCTATACGTACTTAACATGGAAAATCATAGAAATTACTTACAAAAACTTAAGAATTCACTAATTAGACAAACCTTACCTCAAATGAAGAGCAAACCATAGCTTCCTTCAAGGTAAGATTGCTCCAATCCTCACAAAAATCATACCAAAACGAATCCCTTAAGATGCTTGTCAATTTCTTCAACTAACTCTTAGATCAATTCCCTCTTTAAATAGATCAAACCATGGGTTTTATCTTGCAAAAGTTGTAAGAAAATATGAAAGAAGAGAAAATAGTGGAATAAGAGAGAGAGAGAGAGAGAGAGAGAGAGGGGTGTTGCATAAATAAGGAAGGGACTAGAATTCCTTTGAGACTTCATTAATCTGTATATATATATATATATATATATCACTCCATGCTTGGTGCGTCCCTCCATGTGCACCAAAATCACAAAATTGCCGACACTAACACTCAAACACATACATTTAACCACAAGTAACCACATATACAATAACATAAAATAAGATGATAAGATTAAGTCAAAAAAATTCCCGAACACGTAAACCCGACCCCAGACCCGCATGGAACCTCACGGGCCGAAAACAAAGAACAAGCAAAAAGACAAAAAATACATTTATAAGAGTTCTTAAACTTGAAAAAATTCTCTAAATGAATCCCGAAACCCACGTGGCACGTATCCCCATGCACAAAATATAAATACGAAAAAAATAAAGAAAAATGCCAAAAAATAAGAAAAAGGTTAAGACCTCACAGATCACACACGCGCGCCCTTCACTTCTCCTTTTTTCTTGTTCTTATATTTGCTACTAATAAAAAATAAATAAATGGGTAAGGTGCAAAAAAAATCTCTTCAACTATGTTTAAATTTGTAAATAACCCCTGAACTATATTTTGTGTATAATACCTCTTAAATTATCTCATTTTGTTGCAAAATATGTCAATGCCTATACTATATTTCATTAAATAACCATGATGACCCTTCTTATTAAATTACACTTAAACTATTTTTTTATTTAGATAAATTATGAAAAAATTTCATACTAATTTGATGACATATTGTCCATTAAAATTTGCATAAATTTACCTTTAATTTTTTTAATTAATAATTTAAATAAAAAAAGTAGAAAATTTGAAAAAAAAAATGAATTATTTTTTATTTTTAATGAATATATTACATGAAAATAAGTATTTTTTTTAAAGTAATTTTTTAAAAAATTCATCAATATATTGCATGAAAAAGAAGATATTTTTCTACGATAAAAATGTTTAAACTGGTTATAATAAATTTTAAAAATAAGCTAATCATTTTAGAAAATTGTAGTTCCAAATCTATTTCTCTTTTTTTTCATTTTTATGATAAATTGATACTAATAAATAAAATTAAGATAAATAGTATAATTAATATTTAGATAAGAAAAAATTTAATAAGAAATAAAAAATTTAATAAGAAAGGGTAAAATAATCTTGTATAATGTGTTTGTCCTTAATTATAACAATAAATAGTTGGGGCAATTTTTAATTGAGGGAGTTATTAGACAAGGAGGGTTTTTTTTTTATTATTATTATTTTTTTGGCACTTTATCTGAAATAAATAAATAAATAATATTAAATAAATAACATAAATTTTGCAGACCACATCAATCAAAACCGGGCCATAGAGAGAGACTACTCATCTTACCAAAAGAAGGCCAATCAAAAACCCCTTTTGGGTTTATATATTTTCCGATTCTTCAACCCAATTGAAGCTTGTTCGCAATCGTGAGCTTAGCACCCTTAAACGACGCCGTTCCAACCCACATGTGTTCGCTTCAGAGGCGGAGCTCCCTCCTTATGGACCAGGTGAATTATTCTTGTATAAGCAATTTTTTGCACATCTTTTGTTCCTAAGGGCATTGCTGGAGGAGGTACTAGATATTATCCTCCATCTTTATGTATTCTTGAAGGGTGATGCATATGTTAATGAAGGTATTCTAGTTTTGAGATTATGGTATGAATGATTCCACTTGTTTTTGTAAATTTTATACATGGATTGAGAAGACCAATTCTCAATTACATATGCAAAAATTTCTTACATTTCGTGGTGTTAAAATTGTGCATGTTTTTAGTGAACACTTTAAAGGCTATGAAGGAAATGAGCAATATTTTACCTAGAAAAAAGAAGAATAAAGTTCATCTATAGGGTCAACCTGATAGTTTGATTCAGATTGTTATTTTTCTATTTATGTATTTATTTATTTTGATTGATACATTGGAAAGAAACCAGTTTTGCTAATATGTTTAGTTTTGGCATGGTTTCTGTCTCAAATTGGGAAAGTTGTGGACAATTTGTCAAACAAGTGATGTTTGGTCTCTTGTACATTCTATATTGAGTTCTCTATTCTTTTGGGTAAATGGGTGAAATTGTAAGTCTTTGGCGGATTTTGTGGATAGCTTGAGAGTATAGCTGGCCTCTTTTGGTCTTCTGTGTGGTTGTTCTCTGGGTGCTCTCCTCTCTTGAGGCCCTTTTTTTTTCAGAAAAAGGAAAATAAGAAGCTTTTTGTGTTGGATTGTGTTGGATCCTATTGTTATTACCGATGCATCGGCAGAAGCATTCTTTGCTGATAGATATTGTTGTTTGGTTGTCATAGAAAAAGTAAGTTGTTTATGCTTCTGCAAATTAATATCATAAACACTGAAAATATTTTATGGCCCCAATTCTCCTTCACTGTGATGTAGGTTGAGCGATTAGATGTCGGAGCCTTACTCTCTATCAGAGTTGTAGGTCGTGTCACAATTGTGAAAGTGCAGGTACATACTCAATACTTCTGTTTTCTGCTTTCATTAAAGTATACTTATAGTTTATTTATAATAGCCGCAGTTGATAACATGATTTATCATGTAATGCATCCGAATTCATGATCTTAAGTTGGAAGCTTGTAGACTTGAGTATTGGTTTCTATCATGAGAAAATCACATCAGTTAATTGTAACTATTGAATTTTCGATTAGCGAGTTATAGAAGTATATACAACTAGTCCTATTTTGCATAAATTTATTGACTATAAAATGGATGCAATAATTGATTAATTTCAGAACTTTAAGAATGTATGTGTGTAATTTGTATTTCTTCCAAGGGCAAAATATATATATATATATATATATATATATATATACATATATCTGTGTGAGAGAAGAAAAATGGTGAATATTCTCTCCCACAAAATTTCCCAAATCAGTGTCGTAATCTTATTATATTCTTCAAACCCTAATTTCATCATGGTATCAGAGCGGATTTGATGCCGATCATAATCGTTGTGTAGTGGTCACTGTAGAACGTCATTTTATATTGCCATTGTTGCCAGCATGTGTTGTTGCGGACATGTGGTGGTGGTGATCGAATAGTGTTCATTGTGTTTTTGTCATTGTGGAGCCATTGGTTGGTTGTAATTGTTGTCATCGTTGGGAAGAGTTGCAGTGGCTAGGGTTATCATTAGATAACAGAGTAGAGAAAGAAAGAGAGGGGCTCTGACCAACCCAACCTTTACTTGCTGGTCCGAAATGAGCAGTTCAACCAGACTCAACCCGACCAGTTCAACCAGACCTGAATCCAACTGAAGCAACCCAGCCATTTTTTGGTCCTATTTTCCGGCCATTTCAGTTTTTCCAGCCAGTTCAATTTTATGGATACATTTAGGAAGTTTCAAAAAAGGAATACATATTTGAAGTAATTTAATGGCAATTCAATGGTGAAATGGTGATTGGAAAAGGGCAATAGTCAAATTGGAGTTGGTTGCACATGTTCAACACATGCACATTCTGAAATTTGGGTAAATTATTGTAGTGCACATTTCTTTGATGTGCAGAGCGCTGAGAACACTTGACAGATCCAATTCTGAGCCTTGTGTATAAAAATAAGTAAGGTCCAGCAATTATAGCATGTGCGAAGCTCAAAATAGATTCTATTAGCTGTATATGTTTGGGGTATCCCTATATTTGTAAATGGTGTGTCAAGGGTGTTACTTGCGTGTCCAAGGGACTTTACCTGTGCCATACATGCATGGTATGCAAGTTTTCATTTTTAACACTGCATAGATGCTCTTAATCCTTGAATTGCCACTATTTTATTTCTTTACAATTTCAGAGTTGTCCCCTACACCCATTATCTGTATATTTAGCATGCTCAAAGCTGTTTTCGATTGATTTAAATGTTGGATGCACATTTACGATGCTCATGGCGTGATAAATTGCTAACCATGTTGCTTTTTCTTCTTCTTTTCTTTCATAAATCTAACTATGTTGCTTGTCTTTTGCATTTGTGCTCTTATTCTTGTTAAGTTTTACAGAACATGAATGTCTATTAAAAAGTCATTGCTGATTGATTTAAATGTTGGATGTACATTTTAAATGATCATCAACTTGATAAATTGCTACCATGATACTTATTTTTTATGTATACTCCTCTTTTTCTTCTTAAGATTTACTGTATATGCATCTCTATCACTTGCAATAACCATATTTTCAAATTAAATCTTTAATTCTAGTATTAACCATTCACAAGTTCAAGTAAAGGATGTTAAAAACTTGCCAATTTAGTTAATGCTGGGGCAAGATCGAGAGTCGCCTTGCTAACATGGAGAGTTTTTTGTTCTTCAATGTTAAAGATAGAGGGTCAACCTTTAAATATAAAGTTGTTTGATTAAAAATATACTCGACCAGGTGCATGGGCACATAGCTGTCCTAAGACTCAATGACCAAATATTATGTGACCCATGGTCCAAACTAGATCGAGAGACAATTTTATAGAGGATCGATTGCCTAGCCTGGAGGCAGTCAGTTTGAATTAGGTGATATGGGAAGACTAATTTTTCCTTTTGGATGAATTATCTTAAAGCTTAATTTTCCCTCAGTGAGGAAAACAATTTCATTACTTTGTATGGAACTCCATGGATAGAAGTTGGTGTAACAGTCTTGGTTATAAGGAGCAATATAACCTCTTTGATATAGTACGGAAGATTGCTACTGGACTTCAGTTATATGTCTAATTTATAAACTCCGAATCTCTGAAGCTGTATGATTATAACCAAATTATCTAAGCTAAGCAAAGATAGAATTGGTGGGACGCCTGTTAATAAGTGGTTTATGATGACTATTTGTCAATCCTAATAGGCTAAGACTAGTGGCCTTTAGATCTGTTTATAGATTCTTCGTAGCTGTTAGGTTGAAGTGCGGCATTGCGATATGTACCACTGTAACTGTCAAAACCCCTATCAATTGCCACTCGCAGCTCCAAAATGTTTTCAAGTGTTCTATTTTCTTCAATTTTTATTTGTTCTGAATATATTGATCAAGTTTTATCAGAACTAAGTCAAAATTTGTTGAGATCCTAAAATGAGGATTCTTGAAGGGTTCCCCAAAGGTGTTATGGATATAAGGGGTATCATAAGAGAGGATATCCATGTGTAATGGTTGTATGGATTTTCACAATTTCAATGTCACCTGGTTGGGCCTCATGGAGCATTGGGGAATCACTTAGCCACATTGATCGTTGTATACTTGTTTTAGTCACTCTTTTGACTAATGTATATAGAATAATATATAAAATTTAGACATGCATGTGAGCATGTCCCATCACTCCCATGTCATCACATTTTTTTAGAGCGTTGGAGGGTTGTGTTACAAACATTACTTTTCCAAACAAGTGTTTGTGTTCTATGGAGAAATAAAGGGGAAAAATAAAAAATAAAAAAAAAAATAAAAAAAATGAAAGAAAATTGAACTGGGTGCTGATGCAAAAAATTAATGCCCCATCTTTCCAAGCTTTATGCAAATTACTTATAGGAAAAGAAAAATAGATGCGTATGAGCTGTGCCCAACTCATTTTGCCGAAGGAGGGTCGCAACAGCTCTCTCCACATAAATGTCTGTTTGTAGTGAAGTAATGTGAGAAATATAAAATGGTGAACTGGGAGCTGGGCGGTGGGTGGTAGAGGGATGGGTAGTGTTCAGGTGATGGGGGAGGTGGTGGCGGCATGTTTGAGGGAGAAGATGGTGGTCGCTGATGTTCATCCGGTTCAACAAAAAAAAAAAAAAAAAATTTGGCAAGAAGTATTTGTAGCATTAGTCTTATGCTTAGGAGGTTCAAAATTTTACGGCCTGTTATTCATATATGGGACTTAAGAAGGCCTTATATTTGTCCTCAAGATTTGTGTAGAAAAGTAGTCTCTCAAGGGTTTTCCGATCTTCCTCAAGACTTATTTGGAGAGAGTTGTTCCTCGATGGCCCTTCAGTACATTAACATTAGCCATAGAAGCTGAGGTTACATTATAGAGGCTTAGAGGTCCTAGTGCTGATATCGAGGCTAATCTATATAGAGAAGGTCCTCGTAGTTTATGATTTGCCTTAGATTGGGGTCCCCACCATGGAGTTTCATATCAACACTCTACTCTCCTTTTGCTGATGCAAAAAATTAATGCACCATCTTTCCAAGCTTTATGCAAATTTCTTATAGGAAAAGAAAAATAGATGTGTATGAGCTCTGTCTAACTCATTTTGCTGAAGGAGTGTCGCAACAGCTCTCTCCACATAAATGTCTGTTTGTAGTGAAGTAATGTGAGAAATAAAAAATGGTGAATTGGGAGCTTTAGAACTAACTTTATAAACCATTGTTCAAGCGTTCCATGAAGCAATTGATAAACTGAGCAGTCTCTTGTTAATAATGAATCTTATGAGAAAACCCGTATGCATTGTCTCTGTCATTCGTTTGAGGTTATCGAGCCAATCTTTGACTTAGCTAGTGTCATCTTCAAGTGTTTATTGTTGTTGAAAGAATGCTGTTGTTATACAGAGGATGATGTAATGGACGATGAAATTGACCATGAATTACTGTCGGAGGCAGATAATGCTTGGGCCCAGCGGGAATGGTCAATCCAGCATGTCTTGTTTCCCTCCATGAGACTCTTTCTCAAGCCCCCAAACTTGATGGCAACAAACGGAACATTTGTCAAGGTAATTCTTTATATTCCAATTGAAATGTTTCATTTCTCGAACATGCTAGGCCTCATATCTATTGCATTCTGGATCTACCTGTGATTATTAGATAATTTTATTTATTTATTTTCTGTAGGTAGCTTCACTGGAGAAACTTTACAAGACTTTCGAAAGATGCTAACAAGAACAGTTCCAGTCAGACGTATTGACACAGAAATTAAGTTGCTGACATGTCTTGTTTCCATAGGCTGCCGCCATGTGTACGTGCCAAAAGACACTTTCGGTGAAATACTACTGTAATTCCTACGGGTCATGGGGTTTAGTTAGGAATATACATCCATCATCTGTAAACAACACAGTGGGTGTTTGTATATGTTTCTTTTTCTCTCTTGCTGTGTCTTTTGGGGTGGTTTAACATTCTGCCTCTGTTTGACTGTTCTTGCTGGGTAATATAAGTGATAATTGACAGTGGTGCTTCCGTTGACTTGTGATAAATTTCTTGGGGTGTTACCTAAGTATTCGTCTTTGTTGGACATGCATAGTTTTATAGATATATCAACCACATCGGGGAAAATATAACAGTAACTTACAAAAATATCATCAACAACTTTTTTATAACATATTTTCCAGATTTGGACTTTCAAGTCAATTACATCCTACTGCAGAAAATATTCAACAATCATGCAAAATTAAAATTCAGTAGTTTGTCTACATATATATAACAGAAAACAAGAAAAAGGGTAGGGAAAAAATATTTAAATTGCTCTATGTGGTTGGCTTGGCAACTCGAAGCGACACAAGGGGCACATGTGACTCCTTTTGAACCACTCCAAAATGCAACTCGATGGTATATATAAGAACATGGCATGTGACTCACTTCCGACCCAATAAACATATCATCCCTGCATATCGCACACACTTTCCCTCTATCATTATTCTCCTCAAATTTGATTGTCTCCAATCCCTCGATAGATGATGTACTTGCAGGCACTAATCTATCATATCCCAAGTACTCTCTCGTAGTCCGATCCATCAATGACAAGAGCAAGTTTCTTTCATATCTTTGGTCCAATCTAGCTTTCTTTGGTGCTGTGTTCCTCGCTCTCATTGCTATTTCTTTCCATATGCCATCAAAATCCATACCAGGCCGCACCCTTACGATCCAGGAAACAAATTGGTGAAGTTCGAGCACACGTTTTTTCATCTCCTTTGCACGGTCCATTGCTTGGATCTCCTGACTAGACAAAATCACTATTTTCTCAATGTTGATGTTCAAAACTAGTATTTTTCGGTCACAGTTTGAGAATTTAGCGACGGTCCAATGAGTATCAGCCATGACAATATTGACTAAATCATCCAGCTTGTCAAGTTCATGCATTGTTTCGTGGTCATAATATGGTCTGTATTCAAATCCCTCTAATGGGAATGGTACATTCATTCCAAAAAACATTCCGGATACGATATCGGATGTTAAGGTTTCGTATGGAAACTGTTTCGAGATTTGTGCGATGAGGTCTCGTCTTGTGTTGGTTTTGAAGGATCCATCCGAAGAGATATAATTTTTTTCCACCTTAAAATCTAGGGAGAGTTGAATGGAAGGCAGTGATTGATCATTGCTTCCGCTAATGAGACCTCTGCTCTTAACCTGCAGCTTTGTTGCAGCCATTAGGGGATAACAAAGAGGGACAGGTGTTTTATGATGATCGATATTGGCTACTTAGGAAACCAAGAGAAAGAAAGACGGTGAATCGGCAGTGATGGTACAGACTTGCGGCAGAGAGAGTGTGTTGTATATATGCTGTGACCAAGATTACAAGCGTCATATATATATATATAAGGAACAATATTTGAGTAGGAATAGGATAAACGTCGATAAACCTGTCAATGGAGCGGATCCTGATCCCGATCTGATTCGAATCCGATCCGATTAGTCGGATATAGATTGAACAAAAAATTCAATAACCCGGTTACGATCCGAATCCGATAATCCGTTAGCTTAACAAATCGGATATGGATTGTGCTGATCCGATTCGATAAAAACCGATCCGATTCAATTGAAATTATATATAAAAATAATTATATATATATAATTATTTATCAATAATTTTACATATATATATATCACTACTACTATTAGAATTGTATTAGAGGAAACCCAAAAATCCAAAATAATAATAATGTTATATATAAATATTGTGGTGTTCTCATCCACATGCTAATAAATCTCTTAGTACACATACTAATAAAATCATACTCTTTATAATTATATATGTTAGTAAATATTAATTTAATCCGATTTCGAATCCGATCCGATCCGAGTCCAAGCTAAATAGGATATGGATTGAGACATTCAGTCTGAGAACCCGTTAGTGATCCGAATCCGATAATCCATTTGCTTAACAAATAGGATATGAATTTGATCGATCCGATCTGAATCCAATCCATTGACAGGTCTAAACGTCGATTTGGATTAGGAAACACTTTGGTACTAAACAGCATGCTTGTACTAAAAGGCTTCTGAAGAATCCTAGCTCTGTCAGGAGTGCGACTTGGATTTGGAAAGTTATAAAACATAAAAAAATAAAAAAAAATAAAATGGAATTATTTTGAAGTTGGAAAGAAATTAATTCCATTTGTTTTACCCTTAATTTGGAGGGTAAACAAAATTTAAAATAATCAATTAATATGGGGCGACCATGATTGGCCAAATGGGGCTGGGTTTGACCGACTGACACATTGCGACTAGTATATAGGACTATGCTAGCCCATTCCCGTCCATCCAATTTATATCGAGCTCTATTTAAATAGTTTACTGTTAGGCCCAATCTTATAGTCTAGGTCCAATCCTATGTAGATTAAACCTCAAAAGTATTATAAAGTAAATACTTATAAATAAACACTATAGTTCAATCTTATGGTCTAGGCCCAATCATATGTAGATTAAATCTCAAAATTATAATAAAGCAAACACTTGTAAATAAACACTCTTGACAATCGCTTCTACTTCGTGTTTTTTGTTTCGCATAATGTACTATAGCGAAGCAAAAAAAACAAGTCGTGTTTGGTAACGTTTATTACAATTTGAATAGTATTGAAGCGCTTCCGAAAAAGAAACCAAAATCGAAAACACTAAGCCGCGAAATGATGTATTGATGAACATTACCACAAATAAAATAAAAAATAAAAAAAGAAAAAGAAAAAAGAAAACACTCTAAAATGACCTTTTAACAAAATATTTTATTTTTCAAACTTGCAATACTTTTTTTTTTTTTTAATCAAATATACTTTAATGTTTTTACTTCCAATAATCTTGCAACAAATATAGGTTATCAAACAAGTTTTCGAATAGTATTGAACACACTCCAAGGTTGAAACATTACTTCTGTTTTTGATAAAAGCAAAAGTATAAAGCAATTATGATTCTCAATTAGAACTTTTTAATTGCCTAAAGGACTTTGTGCTCTAACTCTACCGAAAGATAATATGCCTTACCATAAACGAGACGATATAATGACATGCCCTTAATTAAGGAGAAATTTAAAATATAGGTTTATGTCAGTTTCTTTGAGCTTTACATGCTATTTGCAAAATAGTGGCAATGAATACTTGCATTCAAAGATGTAAGGAGATAACTCTTTCTTTTCACTGATACATGGTGATATTGAAAAGAGATAGTAGTATATATCCTTTATAAAGAAAAATTTAAAAAGAAAAAATATTATTAATAAGTAAATTTACTTGCATTTTATTTACAATATATATTTTCTTAAGTCCTAACAACTTAACTTGTGTCCTCACTTCCATACATGTTCTAAGCAAAATTCTATACTCACATCGAATTGAGGTATCTCATCTAATATTGAGACTCAAAATAAAATAAAAATATGACCCGATTGGACTTGTTTAAACATCGATATTAGCCTATACAAAAACATGATCTCACATGCACCACCACATGTTTGGTTAACTGATTTTCAGCTAAGAAGATCAAGGTAGAAAACAATATGTGAAAGTAAGGCCACAATGAGAAGAGGCTCGTTCATTAAGTTTGGTAGTATGGTAGGTGTTGTGCGCGTGTCGCAATACTCTATGGACACTTCAAAGGCTTACACATCCTAAACTCTCAGATGTAATAAAAATATATCTAAATCTAGCTTCAAATCTTTAAATGTCAAACTCCTTTCCTTTTAAAAGAAAATTAACATTATTATAAGCATGCGACTTTCGTATCATGGCAAGCATGACCGACATATCATCCTTCATCCTTGCATATATCACACACTTTCTTCCTATCATTGCTACAATTTACTTCAAATCTGTTATACGATCCCGAAAGAACTCTCTCATAGCCCATTGGAGCAATGACAATTGCAAGTTCCACCACTACCACCGCCATCACCACCACTGCCTTCCACCATCGTCATTGCCACCATTCCCGTCACCATTACCACCACTACTGCCACCGCCATCACCACCACCTTCACCCTTGCTGTCTTCATGTAATGTTCCAGATTTTTATGAATTTTTTGGCATTTTATTATTATTATTTATTAAATTTTATTTTCATTTTCATATTTATCATGATCGTTTTGTGTACCACGTGAGTTTCAAGGGGTATTTGGGGCATTTCTTCATGGTGGGCTCATGTTTTTGGACTAGGTTTGGTTATCTTTGTATGATCAAGCAGAGACTCAAAAATATTTCTCACAATGGTTTCTTACAAGTTTTTGTACGTTGTACCTTTATGAGTGAGAGTGAGCTGATAGCTTTCTTAACATGTCTATTGAACTTTTACCTTTATACCCCCAAATGTTACAGATTAAAAAACACCAAAATATCTCTTACTCATTCATACAAGTGATGAGAAACCTAAAACCCGATAAATTCTCTGTCCTTTTCGATCCCTTTCCTACATGAAAATAAGATAACACAGTGCAAAATGATGAGCGCTGAAAAGTGCGTATTTAAACCCCTTAAACTTAGGCATTCTAGCACCTTTATCTATCTTACTTTACCGTTTTATATTGATTTCATATTGTTTCCATTTTTAGGCACTTATCTCGAAAATAAGCTAACTCAGCCAAATAAGAGCTTAATTGAAGCAATTCTGGGATTAAACAAAGAAAGGAGCAAAGTGGAGAAAAAAGAAAGCAAATGAAGCCAAAGGTGGGAAGCAGCAAAGTTCGATCGATCCAACTTCAAGGTTCGATTGATCGAACAATGATTGATCTCAGCACTTCAAGATAGATCCAAGCCTTGGCCTAAAAGCATAAAGTCCAAAAAGTTTGATCCATCCAACACCACCCTTCGATCGATCGAACACTTTTGTCCTTATTCAAATGATTGATCATATCCACAGCTGTACCATCCACTAACCACTTTTGTCCTTTTCCTAAAAATATCTCCCAAAATATCTCGGATTTGTCTTTTTCCAAAAAGCTCAACCAGTTGGATCGATCCAGCCTAAGTTTGATGGAT